TACTACTACCGTGAGCCCGATTACTACTACTACCGTGAGCCCGACTAGTACTACCACCACCACCACGAGCCCGACTATCACTACGAGCCCGAAGACCACCTTGAGCGGTGCAAGTTTCTCGGATTTTGCCTCCAGGGTCGACGCGGACAGGGTGATACCAAAGTTCGCGACCAGTTCGGTACATGACACAGTAGACACTGTCACGTCCGAGCCTGTGGATGAGGGAGCGCCGCAGAGCTCTAGCATGGGCGAGAATACCACCCCGAGCGGCGTGGCAGAGGGTATTACAGGTCAGTTCAAGGGCGGGAGGCGCAAGCCGAAGACCACCAGGATGCGTAGACGGAAGCCCAAACTGAAGGCGCGGATGAGCAGACCCGTGTTGGACGGGTTGCAGACGGAAAGATCTAAATGCGAGGAGAAATTGAACTCAGCGGAAACCGCGGCCAGCAGCTTGCCTATGGACGTGGAGACTGGGCCGTACCCATGTGATGGCGGCAGTGGGCAACTGCTGTGTGCAACACGTGAGGGTCAGACGTGCCACCGTTTTGGCGGTCCATGGAAATATGGAGCCTTTGCGGTGAGGGAGGCGATTGAACATCATTTAGGCAATGGCACACATTGTATGACGTACTGCGACGGTAAAGCTGAGGCGATACGCCATGTCTGGGAGGAGACCGGAAGAAACCTACTGTCGATTCCTCCGTGCCCCAAACCGGGATTCCTAGACTTCACGGCGGACCCTTCAGAACCCGACCTGAATGACTTCGAGGTTATGATGCGCCCGCGCTATCCTATCGTGGAGGAGTGCTCGGGTGTTTGTCGCCATTGTCTTGAAGATACCCACGCGAGGAAGTGTTCTTGCAGTTTTGTACATGCCAAGTGTCGCATCCAAGCTAAGGGTGAGAAGGTTCCGCAGGTCATTGAGTTAATGGATTACAACACTCAGCCAGGAGAGCTGTTTGGACACTTGTCTCCGTTCAACAAAAAGCTTGGCCTCTATGATGTTTTAGATTGCGACTACGAATGCTATCAGCCGGGCCCGAATCTTGATGCAAAATTCGCCACAGGCGTGGACGTACGCATCGTGGAGACGGAGCCAACAGGGGATGGTAGCCCGCTGAATTCGAGGCTGAGTAGACGCGAGTTGAGTAGCCTTCAACGACCTCTGGCAATGTGTAAGCAATATCCTAAAGGAGACTGGCGCCAAGTAGAAGAGACTGGTCGATATCCATGTAATGGCCAGGGTGGCATAATGATGTGTGGAACGAATATACGACAGTGCTCCATCTGGAAGCCATGGTCGAGCTGCGACAAAAGCAAACCAGTTTCATGTC